GCGGGTGTCCCTACGTGGCGCTTCAGAGTGCCTCGAGGTCGGCATGAAGCTGGAAGGTGCGTGCAAATTGCGTGTGCGTGAACGTGTGTGTGTGTTGCGTGCGTTTTGTACGTGTGTACGTGCGTGCGTGCGTGCGTGTGGTGCGTGTGTACGTGCAAATTGCTGTTTGTGCACGTGTGTGTGCGTGCATGCGTGTGCGTGCGTGCGTGGCGTGCGTGCGCGTGCGTGTCTGTTTGTGCCCGTGGTTTGTGCACGTGCGTCGCTGTCGTGCGTGACATGTGTTGTGTGTGTGTGTGTGTGTGGTGTGTGTGTGTGGTGTGTGTTAGATGTCTCCTCAGTGGTTGTAGGAATGGAATATGTGGGTGTATAGATGAATAGGGGAGGACAATGGTGTAGGAGAGCCGAGGGCTTGCAGTCGTGGTTGTCAGTCGTGGTTGTTCACTTACTATGTCGTGTGCAGTGTGTGTTATTTTCTCAAGGTGTGTCACGGTGAGGAGTTAGATATGCTGTGAGGAGTGTCACTAATTTAGCGTAATGGGGGTATAGTGGAGGAAACATCGTATCTGAGGAATGGAGGAGGCTATATAGGGTTAGATGTATTCGGGAACTGTGTTTGTTAGATGTTTGCAACGAAATGTAGAAGCGAGGGAATTGATGTGTTGGGGAACTGTGTTGCGTTGGATGATGATATACTCAAAGAATGTTGGAGGCGAGGTTTAGGTGATTCTTTGTGCGGTTAGCCCATGATAGACGCGGTGGAACAACTGTTGGCAAAAATATTGTACGATGTTTTAGTTTTAGTTTTACTTAGCGTATTGTGTGGCACAGATGTTAGTGTTGGTAGTAATGTCAGGCGGTTGTTACTTGCCCAGTAAAGTGGTGGCTGTTGCACTGTTGGGTGTAATGTCGGTGATAGATGTTTGGTGTCTATGTAACAAGGTTAGAAATTAACTTGCGTTGCGCCCGATCAAACTACTTGCTGGCAGTGAAAAGGGCAGGAGCAAGTTTACTCACCCAGCAGGCAGAATCTTTGGTGGTTGTTGTTTTATGGTGTATTAGGATATCTTGGGCAGCAAGCATTGACTGCTGACGTTTGAAGCAAATAGCCTAGCTGACTCTTGACACTTTGTAGGCAGCGAAACTGCTGGCTTGCTGCCCTCAATTTTGAACCTATTGTTGTGTCCCTTGCGTGTTGCAGGTTTGCTGTAACGTGGGTGGTTAGCAGACATTATTTGGCCAGTCAGTATTATTTTGAGACCCTCAGTAGGCGTGCCTTTATGACAATGTGTTTGCCACTGCAGGCACGATGCGCCAGATCGCACTGGAGGCCCACGCTAGGTCGTTTAAGAAACGTAAAGCCGAAGGATAAAATTCTCAAGGTGATATAAAAAGAGGCACAGCTTGACATGTAGGGGGGTCTGGGTGGCATGCCCCCCTGAGAAATTTTTGACGTCGTGGAAATGGCAATCTGGATGAGTCTGGTGCGAGAGAGACTTTTTGAACAAAACTGTATGAAACAAAATTTTTAACCCAAAATTTACTGGAAGACTGTGCTTTCACGTGTGTTCTATCTGCGGGCGTCACTGGCCCAGATGATGGATAAGCACGTTCGATTATAATACTCAGACCAAACTCTCTTCCACACGTCTTGTCATCGCAACTAGCAGCACACGCTACGTTGCATAGAGTTAAATTATATCAAGCTGTGTTCCAACTAACAATCTTCATCACCAAATGATAGTACAAGATATCGCAGATCAACGAAATATGACTTTTAAGAAAAAAATCTATCAAATATACTTAATATGATGAAAGTCTTTTTATACCGCCGCAAACGAAGTTTGAAGGCGGTATATAGGCGTCATCTTACGATTGGTCGGTCGGGCGGTTGGGCGGGAGGGCGAATGGGCGAATGGTCGGGCGCTCAGGCAGTCGGTCGGTCGGTCCGTTGCAAAATGTTTATGGCGCAAACTACTTCCACAGTTTTCAAGGGATTCCAATCAAACTTCATACACTTGGTCACGATGAAGTGTAGATGTGCGAGACATATTTCTTGTGTGCGTCCATCGACGCGTTGCCATGGAAACCGTATCTCATCCTTAATTATACCCCCGCCGTTGCAAAAAGTTTGTGGTACGAACTACTTTCACAGATTTCAAGGGATTCCAATCAAACTTTAGACACTTGATCACCATGAAGTGTAGATGTACGTGACATATTTTGTGTGTGGACATATATTGCCATGGAAACCGTATCTCATCTTTTTTTCTTTTTTTAATTTCATCATATTTTTTGTGTTCTGTGTATTCTTTACTCATAATATACGCCACACCATGACCTTCCATTTCCCCTCCGACAAAGCGGTATTGCGAGGGTATTAATCACTATCAGTGATAACTCTATCTAGTTTAATTTGCCAGCTAATATACGAATAATTACATGTCATCATTGTCATGTATATTTTTGCTTTTAATTAAACAAATGATTAATTAATTATTGCTTCTAAAATAATAAATAAATCTACAACAGGCTTAATATAACGAA